GTTGACGAAGTACCACGGAGCACCATCTGTTCGGGACGAACAGTTTTAAGAGGAGGGCAGTGCTGCGGCTTGATTTTTAGCGCACAGCGGCAACGCAGTTTCCAGCGTTTTCGGGACGCCTAGCTCGATACTTCGAGAACGAACAGCAATAGTCGATGGGGCTATGCATAGATTAACTAAGCTATGGAATCCCGTAAAATGGAGAATTTTCGAAGGTCGTCGAGAGCCCTTGCGGGCTAATATAAATACGGCAAGGCGACCGGAGTGAATCAGTCTCCCTGCGGACACTGTCTAAGAAGAAGACGTGGACCACATGCGATGACCAGTTCCAGCACCACATCGAGGACCATTGGGTAATTTTTAGGTTTTTAGGATTTTAAGGTTTTTTAGGTTTACTTTATGTTAGATTTAGGAAGCAAGAGAGGTTGTAGTAGGCTTAAGTTTTTTAAGTAGAATAAGGTAGAGGGCACTGTACATAATTAGGTTAGTTCAACATTGTAGACCACATCCCCATGGAGTCCCTAGAGGACCAGGACTAGCTGTAAGTTAGTTTAGGTAACAAGAGAAGCTGTATTAGATTTAGGTCTAAACTTAGGGGTAATGTGCCCACATTAGGTTAAAGTAGATTAAGGTAGGTTAAGTCAGGGATTTCAGCATGCACAGAGTGTAAAACACTCTAAAGATGTTAGAATTAAGACTCGTAGATAAGTTAGCAGTAAGAAATTTGTAAAATTTGTCTGAAATAAATAATGTCCAAGGAGTGAATCAGTTAATCAGACAGCTATACAGTGAAATATTTAAAGCGATATGCAGAGTTTGTTCGATTCGCGAGCTATAGTTTGAGTTAGTGATTGTTATAGTTAGTATTTGGAAGCTCAATAAATTGTTGTGTTATTTTATTGGTTTACTGGAATCATTCGAACCCCGGGAAACGTAACAATATGTTTCCCCATGTTCTCCAATACGTAATTTGTGAATATTTTGTTGGGTAAGTTGAAATCACTTAGCTTATTATTCAGGTGGCATTTTCATCAAGAAACAAATAAATAGAAAACAGGATATTTTTCTCATTAGAGCTAGTTCATACCATCGGGTTGCTCACCGCTGAAACCGGTACTTAATACATCTGTATTATGTAGAATTACAGATTAATATTTAAACAGAAACCTCTGTTCAAAATGAATAATTATATTTTCATATTTTCAGATTATCTTTTTCCTTATCTGTTTTCATAAATCGTCAATAATCTGCGAAGATGGTAGCTGTTTATTGGTGTCTTGAGGGCTGTTAGAAAATGCACGGCTTCCTATCACAAACGGCGTATGTTTTAAAGTTGTTCCTAAAAATGCTTCAAAGACTTTTTTATCTGTAAAAAGTATTTATATAAACAATAAACAACAAGTAATATATATATTTATATGTGTTTTTGTGTAGTTGTGTCATTTATCCCTATTATCAACTGCCCCTTGCGGCACAATAAAAAATAAGCAAGTGTAGTGGGTTCATACTGTCGGTTTGTTTGAATTCTTTAATTCTCAGCCACCAGGGCGCGTCACTTTAGCGACACACTTTCTACAAGAGTAAGGGTGGTTTCTATATAAGCCTTGTTCTATGAACCAGTCGTAGTCGGAAACACAGATTACAGAGTATAGATTGGACAGTTTTGCTTTCCCGCCAAAATGATTTCGCTAAATGCAACCACAGAGAGGCGTCGTCCAAAAATCCAGAGGATCAGCTGATTGTTTGCATGCGTTTGTTTTCTACATATGTCCATAAGAGGACTCTGAACATACAGTATTTTACAGTTAAGATTATTCCGTCAATTTTCAATCTTTCAGTCTATCA